ACCAACTTGGAATCAGATTGATTTCATTGACAGTCATAGTCTTTGTCAAACGATAACTAACAACTTCCTATCGATGACTCCAACTTCTTGGAGCTTTCTTCTCCAAGAACAAAAGGAAATGATGCTCGCCAAACAACAACGACCACCATCCATCCTTCATTACAGATAGAAGATCTAAGATTCAAAACTCTGTAAACCCCGGATGGGTGGAACCAGATATAAGCTATATTTATTATTTGGTTATAAATTGGATATTTTATCTCTATAAAATATTTAATATTAACCAATCACGATCCATCTACCTAACAACCCACTTATTTGTAAGTGCTGAAATTACTTGTAATTTCAGCACCAGAGAGATTTGAATTTAACTTAGAAATTAGTTACCTCTCCAAGAGAACTTTAGCAATCGCAATAAGCCAGTATACTCTAGATCTATCGAGCCTAGCAGAGACTAGTTAAACACCCTGAGACTAGTAGATATAAGAGTAAGGTTAGGATCGGTATTAGACTAAGAAGTTGCACGAACCTATCCGGCCGAAAATAAGATAGCGTGACGAGCAGACGGTGTACCCTATCCGAAATTTTTTATGAGTTAAACCTCGAACCTAACTCATTATCGATTATATCAGGTTCTCATGGTCAGTCTCTGCAAAACTCAAAAATTTTTGATTACAATTGATTAAAAATGGATTTTTATTTGTTTTTGTCAAAGCAATAAAAACCATTTTAATCGATTATAATCGATTATAATGGATTATGATTATTTTAAAATGCTTATACCTTGAAATTTTTTGCAGATTGACAGTTGCTTTTGACTTAAAAAAAATGTATTTATGTATATTAAAAAAATTTGCTTAAGTGAGATTTACTTGGCCGATTTTAAATTTTTCTTTTCTCTTTTTTGGGGGGGGGGGGGTTCTAGTAAAAAGATGAAGGGGGCGAGGATGGGGTTGTGGGGGAGATGTGTGTGTGGGAGGGGGGTGGGGTGGGAGAGTGGGAAGTGTGTGTAGGGGTGAGGGGGGTTGGCAGGGATTTGAATGGGTGAGGGCCGCGAAAGAAGGGGTGAATGCCAAAGGATGAAGGGTGTTTTTACACAAGTAAGAACATGTTCGTTTGGGTTCTCGTTCTGCAGAACGCAACAAAAAAGTATAGACATTTCAAGTTTTGGGTTTGGGGGGGGGTTCTAGTAAAAAGATGAAGGGGGCGAGGATGGGGTTGTGGGGGAGATGTGTGTGTGGGAGGGGGGTGGGGGTGGGAGAGTGGGAAGTGTGTGTAGGGGTGAGGGGGTTTGGCAGGGATTTGAATGGGTGAGGGCCGCGAAAGAAGGTGTGAATGCCGAAGGATGAAGGGTGTTTTTACACAAGTAAGAACATGTTCGTTTGGGTTCTCGTTCTGCAGAACGCAACAAAAAGGTATAGACATTTCAAATTTACAAAAAGTAATCGATTTTCGTTGATTTCATGAAAAAAAAACTAATCGGTTTTATTAAAACCAATATTGGATTATAATTAATTATAATGGATTGTACAAACAAATTTTTGGTTGCTAAAAAAAAATCGAGTTTAACCCCCTAAAAATCCATGTTCATGGTTATATAGGTCTTTAAAATCGATTAAATGGGTTAAGTATTCTTTGTCGATATAAACCATTATAATCAATTTTTTCCATGAAACTTTAGTGTGGGATGCTCACACAATTGTTCTAATTAACTTGTTCCAATGGTAGATTCAAAACTGTTGTTGCTTGCAACTCATGATTCGACCAAGTCGGGTTAAGCCCGTGTCAGAGTTTGACTAATAATCCCCGGTACAAAAGGCTCTATAGACAAACCCAAAGTCAAAACTTGACGTCAAAGTCGCTACCAGGTAGCAGAGAGGAAAATTGACAAAATTTGCTTTTCGATAAAGAACCATCAATTTAAAATCAAAACTGAGCCCTTATTGAAAATTGAAACCTTCAAGAAAAATATCGTGTTAGAGAAAACATCAAGCGATAGTTAACATCCAGTATTTCTTAAATTTAAGCAAGACTGCTCGGATCTAATCAGGGCAGAGAACTTGCAGAGAACAATGCTTCTTAAGGTTAGGACCACCCCTGAAAAGAAAAATGTTATCTCTGCTTTTTCGGAAACATGTTTACACCTCTCTCAAAATCGGACACTATGCAAAAAGATAAAACTTGCATCTAGTTTTTTATCAACATGAACCAGTTTTTATCATTTCAAAGAAAAAATTTAGATTCGAATTAGTTTGCCATGTACCGAAAAATAACAACAAAAAAAATGAATGTAAATCTCAACCAGAGGCACAACAGCGGTTTTTCGTGAAGAGGTGAACAGTTTGCATGCTAGTCCTTTACCTTGTGGATAAATCATCTCAACTTAACCATGTGCCGACAGAAGGTATCTTTGCACTGATATGCACAACTATTTAGCTAGATGTTAGTTGCTTAAAATTGGATTTTATCTAAAAATAACCTTCATGAAGTCCAGTGCTGTGACATGACTTATCAAAATTGATGTTAATTTGATCATTAAGAAAATTTTATTTGCCGGATTTGTATTACAAAATAAAATAAATGGCAAAAATTTGAAAACTAGTTTCAAATTTTTTCAAAATTCAAATCGAAACTCATCAATTGGAAAATTTTTACTTGAGAAAGACAAAAAAATAATGAAAACTTTCCCACAAAGTTTTCATTCATAATTACTGAGCAGAAAAAATAATTACTTTAGGGAAAAAAGTAGAATAAAGCATACTTGTACCAATCTAATAAAAAACATTCTAAGATAGGATTTGTTGTTTTTGTAGAATTGACAACCATGGTTATCAGTTTTTTTTAATGTAGGGTTTGTTGTTTTCAAATAAAACTCAATCCGGGATACTAGATTGTTTTTAACAACCATTCTGAGAACTTTGCATAAAGTTTAGGAGAGAATGCTTTTCTTGAACTTTGTTGAGTCATATAAATAATTAGACAAGAGAATGATACATCTTGCTCAGAATTTGACTGAGAAGTGTTAGCGTATTGTTTGGTTGACTAAAGAAAACCCAAATGACCTATTTTTAGAGTAAAACTTTTTATTCCCAACTTTGCATATTGGGTTGCACAAAAAAGTCCCAATTTAACAATTAATGTCAACCTAAATTCAAGTTTCTAAATTTGTTCGATTTGTCCGGATAGTTTACATCAGAACTGTCAGTATAATAGGCAACAGTCATGTCAGAACGATGAATTGAGCAAAATCAAAAATCTACCAATCGAAAATCGGTATTCGAAAAAAAGACATTTCCAGGTCGTTAATTTTGAATTTCGTAAAAAAAACATGAAAAAGCAAATTTTTTGAATTTTGCCAGATCGTCGGTTAACTGGAACAACTTTTTCATTTTCATGGGTTTTAAATCAAAAACGGAAGCAAATTATGCAATGGATGGCCCGTTTCTAATTATTGCGATCAGTTAAATCACAAGTTAATCATATCAAACTTTTTCACTGCGAGTATCATATAAATGATTTTGTGTTTCAAAACGACTGTTCCTTCTCCTGTCCTTCTCAATCAATTTCGAAAGATTTTTGGAGATACATTTTTTAGTACATATTTTTCAGCAGACTCTAAATTAATCAATTAACATACTTCTTTCAGAAAAAAAAACAAAACAAGTTGATTGTTGGTGGTTGATCCAAATTTCCAATATAACACCAAAAACATTTCAAGATTTTTCATTTTGAAGTAATCCAAAAACAACAAACGGTTGAGCAGCGCTCAAGCAATTCTATGAGAAAAAAATTGCAGAAATCAAAAAGTGCACTTTTTGCCAACAAAATTTTTAAAAAAAAAACAAATTTTTTTACTGATTGCAATTGTAGAAAGTATTGAGAATAACCCGCAGATGAATATATGGACTACAAATTTTAACAAAATTAAGCTAAATTTATACCTAATTATAGCAGAAAGAATTACAATTTAAACTATGTTTGTTCATCCATGTTTGTTCACGACCAAATTCATCCATGTTTCTGCAACCTATAAAACTGTTTCAAAAAACTCAAAAAACAACATTTTTTATAACGCGTTTTAAAGTTGCTTAAATTGTTTCAATTTACCGGGAAAAAATACCAGCCAAAAAATCATAGACCTAATTCATTCTTTCTTTACAAAAAATCGTGGACAATTAATTTCTACGAAATAATGGGCTTTTTACAAACTCAGCATAATTTTGAAAAAAAATTTCAAAGCAAAATCAAATACTTTAGATACAGCTGTTATCTTGTTTGATCTAACAAAATCTTATTGCAAAAATTAAAACAGAATTGCATATTGTTTTTTTTTGGAATTAAGGAAATTGACTCTGCTTCAACTTTTAGCAGTCACATAGGTCTGCTTAAATTTTTGCGGCACATTCTCTCAAGCTTCGTAAAACGTTTTTAAAGACGCAATTGGTACCAGTTTATAAGACCGATGTTCTGTCGCTTATGAAAAAGGAAGTATTAGTAAGGGAAACAAGCAGCTCAACTAGAATTAAACATCTTGATCGTGCTATTAGAAGAGCGCATGGAACTATACTCTACAGAAAAAAAATTTGAGCCACTGAAACATTTATCTGAGTATTATCATCTCTACGGTGCTTTTGGTTTAAATTTTTATGAAATATTCAAAATTTTAAGTAAAAATGTCCGAAACAATAATAAATTCTGTTGAGTTACTAATAAAAAAAATTTTTAACAACGAGCTCGTCAAACTAAGGGCTTCTAAGCTCGTCAAACTAAAGATAAGCACTAAGTTTTTTGCAAGAATTTGAAACCAAATTATCGTTTTCGTTTTGTTTTCTCATCGATCCAACTCAGTTCTTGATATTGGAGCCAAAATAGATTGAGACTAAAAAGAAATTACTGATATTGATATTATGCACTAAGCCAAGCAAATATCATTTCTCAATGCAAGCGACCTAAATTGATATCCTATTTGAAAATAGTATACTGAGCTGCGGGGAACAAACCTGACAATGATCCGTCCGTTAGTTCTGTAACCGGGTTGTCTAATTAAGGGCTAAGCACTATCTGTATTTGAAAAACTCAGAAACAGAAAAGGTTCAAAGGGTAGTGTAAAATCTAGTACCCTCCTTACCAAGTTTTTTTATTATTAGCGCACACAGGGGCGGATCTAGGATTTTCTCGAGGAGGGGGGCGGATTTAATTAAGACCATTTATCCACGGGGGAAAGGACCAACACAAGAGCTGTACAGCTCATCACGGCGAACCGCTGTTGTGCTCCTGTTTAAGATTTCAATAAATTGTTGAAAAATTTGTCGACTTTTTTTTTAGGTCGACCGAAATGATTTGCCGAGCTCTCCCAAAGCACTAAAAAGACCCTGTTTTGGTCAAATTTTGTGCGCCGCTGCCAAAATTTTGAAAACAGGCCAAAAAAGGCGATTTTAGGCACTTTTTGGAAAATTTTGACCACAAAAATTGCCTTTTTTTGGCGCGCGCTCCCTCCTCAAAGTAAGTATATATTGGCGCCAAAGGCGCCTTTAGAAAACTTTTAGGGTCCGTCACCAAATATGGGTATCTCAAAATAGTACAAAGGGGGGAACCTTTGGGTCGGCAGGGGGTCGAATCCCTGAGGTGGGGAGAGGTGTCCGCCACCCCCCCGTCCCCCCCCCCCCCGTAATCCGCCCCTGAGCGCACAACAGTGAGATATCCGTGATCTTTACTTGCTAACTAAAAATACTAAAACAAGTAAAATTACTTAATGAGATGCTTAGTTACAGAAATATAACACTTGGTTACGAATTGGTACGGATAAATATAGATTGGATCAACTGTAATCTTTCAACAGAAGATAAGTTATGTAGTCACACACATTACTTAGCTTTAGCACCAAGAGTGTTGACAGGTTGTTGAAAGTTGAAAGTTAAGTTAATATCTATGTCGTCGCTATATCTTAGGCTGAACTTGACTGACAGAATACTGCGGTATCATGCAGTATCACAAACAGCTTCCAGAGAAATCCCTCGACTCGAAAGACCGAATGATAAGAATGGTAAAAAAAACTGTATTTTTCAATCAAATTTAATCGGAATGAAAAAAAATGCAGCGTAATCGAATGTTAAAATGCGATTTTTTAAAGGATTTTGGTGGCTGAAATTTTTCTGCTCAATATATATTTTCACAAATTATGGAAGTTCTTTTAAATTGCTTAAGGATAAGGTAGCCAAGTTTTATTTGTCAAACTCACTGAAGCAGAACTTAAGCCAATAGTCTATCTATCAAGTGTAAACATTTGTAACCTTTTAACATAGCTAGTTTCAGAAGTTTCATGGTTCACAAACCATTTTACTACACCTCGTAAAAACCCCTTGTGTTCCGATCTTGGAAGAACAAGTTCAATAAAAAACAATTTGCTGAATTTCTTTTAAAAAATTCAACTTTAGATTTTTTAATGTGATCATTAGCGAGCAAATAATGGATACTTTTGACAAAATTTGTCTTGATCTTTCGAAGAGTTCCACAACCCTTGGAACTATATCTATCTTGACAAGATCTTGGATGCCAAATTCTGACAAGCAAGTTTTCGCGAGCGTATGTCTGACTTAGATATCTTGTCAAAATAGTACACGGTTGCCTTGCCCAGATTTGGGAAAATTTTTGCAAGATATATTAAGAGTTTAATCCAAGATTAGTCGAGATCATGGCACGAATTATTATGATCAAAACACGACCTAGAGTTCTATGAATATCATAAACTGAATCATATGGTGATAGTTGATGTATTCGGGTTAAAACAAATCCCAATAGCTCAGTTTAAATGAGGAAGTGATTAATTGAACGGTGGTATAAATTGGAGAAGAGAAAAAGATTGAAACCAGCAAAAAATCAATCCTGTTTTGCCAAATTCAAACCGCACAGACTAGGATAAAGTGCTCTATCAAAGTTTCAGTGAGTTTAGCGAAATAAAAAGAGAGTATCACAGATTGTTTTGCTGCATAGGATATTGAACACGGCCGGAATTACGGTACGGTAAAACGATCTTCTCTGAACAATGCGAAAAATGATCTGGCTTAAATCAACTACTGAATCGCAGAGGAAAACAAGGCTGCTCGCATCAGGGCGAAACCCTGAAGGTTCCGACTGTTTTTTAAGGTCTATGGAGCAGTAAAAACTATAAAAGACAACTTCCAACAACAGAGCGTAAAAATTGGAAAATCAAAAAACCAGGTAACGAGAATGCAATTCATGAAAAATGTCAACTCAATCCAATAAAAAGGAAGACTAATGCTAATTCATGTACAAGAACGAGTAGAGAAAGAGCTAAACAAATTGATATGTCGGAAACACACTATAAAACTCGACAAATATTCAGACAAACAATCGATAAACCGGTAAAAAATCGGTTAAAAAAGAGCAAACCGTAAAATATGTACCAGATTCAAAAGAAGAAACAAATTCATCCGCAAAAACATATACTATATGCCCAGAATCGAATTGATATTAGACGACATAGTAAAAACCATGAAAGCGAAAGCAAAGGATCACAGTCTATTTTCAACACTCGACCTGCGCTACGCCTTTTCACAAATACGTCTGGAAGTGGAAACGAGAAGACAATGCGATTTCAGTTTATTGGGATGAAACGCAACGAGAACATAACAATTAAAAACAATGTTCTAAGGCCTCACGGACATGCCGGTCAATTTTCAAAAGTCAATAGAACGCACACTTACCAACTGCGAAAAAACTTTTGCGTAAATAGTTGACAACTTAATTGTATTAAAAAGGTCGAAAGAGACGCACAAAGAGCTATTAAAAATTTCAGTAAAAAAAATTAAACACTGAAAAATTAGCAATATCACTGGACAAATGCAAATTTGTTTGCCATTAGTTAGAATAGCCTAGTTACAACATAAGTAGAGAAAGCACAAAGCCACTTATCAAAAAACAGACGCTATAGCAAAACTCACACCACCAAAAATTTTCAAGCAATTAAAAAAATTTATGGGTTCAATACAACACCTCACGAGATACATATCAAATTAGCAAAGACAGTATCAACACGAAAAATACTTCAAAAGAACACAGACAAACACAGAAACTTGGATTGGAAGTCGAAACATGCCACCGCGTTCCACCGAACCTTGAATCTTGTACCTGAATTAAACAAAAACATACCTTTCAATCAAAACCTAGAGACCCGCGGTCTGCGATGCGTCTAGATTTGGCTTAGAAGCCGCCTTCGAGCAACTTACAGAAGAAAGTTAAGTAGCCTTAGCATATGCCTCGAGCTTCTTAAATTTACTAGAAGAAAAATATTCGTCAACGATCTAGAAGTGTTAGTGCGTGGCCGATCAAAAAATTTAAGTTTAACTTACACGGAAAAAATTTTTACCGTCATCACAGACCACTAAGCTTTAATCAGTGCATATGGTTATCCATTGTTTCCTTGGCCTTGACCAATATGGAAAAATCGTATTTGGAGCAAAGTCTCTCAGAACGTGAGTATTGCGTTTAGTTACCTTTTCATTCATGTGAAGTTATTTTGAGTTAGCTTACAAATCCGTTCGGACTCTATAAGTAATCATACGTAAAGGTAAAACATGGTACAGCCTGCTGGATACAAGAAACCACTGAATATCCTACATTTCTGGCAGAAGGCATCAACTGAGCCACCACCAGAATGGTCCAAGAGGGTAGCCATGATTGAATTGGCTGCTTTTGCCAAACACGGGATAGAAGTACGAAACTTACCCCGAACTAAATCACCAATTATCGACCCAACCAAACCAAGATACGAAATTGAAATTACCGGTGAAACAGAGGAACAGAAGCGCAGCTGAGATATCCGCAACCAGGCAAAAAGGGTGCATGAGAAATCAACGTAATCAAATCCAGACAAAGAGGAGTCCTATGCAACATTTTTGCTGGGGAGGAAGCTGATGCCAAGGTAAGGAGCTACATAATCCTGTGTTTGAGAGCGGAAGTACATTGACAACTTCAACACAAGTGACCGGGGCTTGACATACAATCGGCGACTACAAAAGAACTCATGAAAATACTCAACGATATTTTCATTATGACAAGAAATACAACGATGGAAAGAAGTAATTTCTTTTGTCGCAAGCAACGAAAGAACAAATCACTGGAACATTTGTACGCCGTCCTAGTAGAACTAATATCACGAGCAGACTGCGTAGACAGAGAATACGATTGGGTCCAAGGAATGTTCACGGCCTATTTGACGGACAATGAAATAGCCGAAGAACTCTTAAACAAAATCAGATCCCTCCAGAAGCAAATGCATACGCAATTGGAAGAGAAAAACGGTACAGAACATAGCATAACAATGACAACAAGTTCGTTTAGATCATCATCATCAGCGTCAATAATCAAACAAGAACCAATGGGCTGCACACGGCCACGCGGAAGAGGCGGACAAAATGGGTACCTAATACTCAAAGAGACCGGTTATTCTCGAGACGCCGACATAAGTTCTCCAGAGGAAAATAAAATACTAGAAATAACCAAAACCATCAAAGAAGCCAAAACAAAACGTTTCACAAGTGCAGAAGGCAATTTGCTCCCAAACAACTACATTCATGCTCAGCAAAAAAACAAAATTTACACTAAGTATGCCAAACGAGGACAGTTCGCACAGGTCAGTAGAAAGACAAATGTCAACTATATACAAGAAGCGAATAGGAGCCAATGTGAGGAAGGTGAAGGAAAAAAGCAATCGAAGAAGATGATAACGATTCAGTGCCTACGCAGAACTCACATCGACAAACGGCAGGGAAAATATACCACTTGACAACTCCACTGTTCTAGTACTCTCAGAAGACAGAAGAGTTTAAACTTAAAAATTCCGTTGATATCCACGAAGACAAGTTATAATAAAGCTAAAAAAACAGACAATTTATTCGCAATCGCAGACTCAGAAAACCCAATGTCATTTATCAACGAAAAAACTGCACAAAGACTGCGAAGAAATGACAGGTCAACGATTTTCAAAATTTCAAAAAAATCCCACCGAAGGACGCAGCAAAAAAACTTAGTTAGCACAACTTGCTACAATGGGAAATACATCATTTGTAAAAGGACTTGTAACCATTGCAGTAGAATTAGGAGGGTGGACTGAACAATCAGCCCTTTTCATCATTGTAAATTACCGAAAAGCGAATTTTGTCGGACGAAATATTCTAACGCAAATCGGCCTCAAATCAATACAAGACAAGCCAAACATTACCAAATAATCCTTTTACTTGAGATAAAAAAAAGAGAGGCCAAAAAATCAAACAGTCGGTAAAAGACAACTTCCATTAACAGAGCGTAAAATTTGGAAAATCAAAAAACCAGGTAACGAGAACGCAATTCATGAAAAATGTCAACTCAATCCAATAAAAAGGAAGACTAATGCTAATTCATGCACAAAAACGAGTAGAGAAAAAGCTAAACAAATTGATATGTCCGAAACACAAAATAAAACTCGACATATATTCTGACAAACAATCAATAAACCGGTAAAAAATTTGTTAAAAAAAGAGCAAATCATAAAATAGGCACTAGATTCAAAAAAAGAAGTAAATTCATCCACAAAAACAAATACCATATGCCCAGAATCGAATTGATGTTAGACAACATAGTAAAAACCATGAAAACGAAACAAAAGGTTCACAGTCGATTTTCAACACTCGACCTGCGCTACCCCCTTTTACAAATACGTCTGGAAGTGGAAACTAGAAGACAATGCGATTTCAGTTTAATGGGAAGAAACGCAACGAGAACATAACATTTAAAAACAATGTTCTAAGGCCTCACGGACATGCCGGTCAATTTTCAAAAGTCAATAGAACGCACACATACCAACTGCGAAAAAACTTTTGCGTAAATAGTTGACAACTTAATTGTATTAAAAAGGTCGAAAGAGACGCACAAAGAGCTATTAAATAATTCAGTAAAAAAAAAAAACACTGAAAAATTAGCAATATCTTTGGACAAATGCAAATTTGTTTGCCAATAATTAGAATGGCTTAGTTACAACATAAGTACATAAGTAGAGAAAGTACAAAGCCACTTATCGAAAAATAGACGCAGTAGCAAAACTCACTTCACCAAAAATATTCAAGCAATTAAAAAGTTTTTTAAGTTCAAAACAACACCTCACGAGATGTATATCAAATCTAGCAAACACAACATCAACAATAAAATTACTTCAAAAGAACACAAACAAACACAGAAACTTG